AATAGCTTGAAATCCCATAAGCCAGTAGGTGTTGAAAAAGGTATTTTTGGTGAGTCTTTGGAATTTGTGAGAACTGTTGTCTTTTTACAATATGTAATGTCGTGGAGCTTTAGTATGACGATCCTGTCCAAAGTAAAAAAAAAAGGAATACTAATGCTCCACTCAGGACAGCTACCACTGGTACACCTCGCATGTGGACGTGGTTTAAAGGAGACATAAAATAACATTCTTTTGACTTGAATCGGTGTGAGTGGGACAGCTTTATTGCAATGTTACTATGCCTTCCATTTCCTCTGTGGCAGCGATAGGAAGAAACTTCAACATTTCGGTTTTGATGCCCATGGAAATTTTCAGATTTATGAGCTAATGTTTCATGTCATCCAAGACGGAACAGTGGAGCCTACATAGCTCTGTGCACAAATATGTATCATACTTTTCTACAGTTTCTTGGAGTTACTTATTTATCATGTTATTTGTAGCTTGTTTATGGCTAGTCTTTTTCCGAAACTGTGCTGAGGGTAATTGTGAAGGACAAATTTTGTACATTTTCTTTTGACAAGTACCGTAGTGCCTGGTATGACAAGAGAAAAACAGCGCCCTCTGCTATTACCGGTCTACCACCGGTCACTTTTTATAAAAAAGTATAAGTTTTCCCGACCAATTTCGGAAAATGTGTAAATGAATTAGTAATGGCAGCATTCGTTTTCAAGCGAAATGGAACGAAAATCCCCGTTTCTATTTAATAAAGAAAAATTCTATTTCAGTGAGGGTGCAATTCTGTCGTATTAATTCATCGTTTAATTTCTCAATATTTGCACTGGTGTAGAAAAATGTTGACATTCATTTTTGCGCGAAATTGAATGCACCTCTGCAACCCTGCATTCATCTTAATTTGAACTCAATCTATTTCACAGAAAGTACAGGCCATTCCGAGCCAAGTGTTATTTAACGTAAACCTGGTCGAGAATTGGAATTCGTTTGGTACTAACAGTACCAAGTTATATTCTTAGAAGTGTTTAGTTGAATGGTTAAATGTTTGAATATTCATGACTGAAATAGACCATTCATGTTGTCTTTAAAAACATAGTGACTACTGTACAAATCCTATACAAACACCGACGCTGAGGTAACCTTTCTTTCTTGTGCTACTTCTTGCCACTATCACATTAAAGTTCACACACGGCCTTCTTGCAATGGCTGAACGGGAAGATACAGAAAAATCATAGACTTTAATTGGTGCAGTTTGATAACAAACACGTTATCATCCTGAGTAACATTACCTCCATTACCAAAGTGGTGTCATGATTTCTGTAACCTTGTATATTTCTAATCAAACTGAACGCAAATTTTGTGAATTTGAATTACAGCGAATGAAAACGAACAGTACCGATGGTTTACGGTAAAAGACAGATATTCAGAAAATAAGATTACACTTTGGTTACAATTGGCAACAAATACGTCAAATCGAAATCACTTATTTGTAACCTCTTATTGAAACGTAATGCACATGCACTGCAGGATGCAAAACAAAGTCGAATGCTCATTTTGCGAAAAAGAAACCAGTTTTTAAGTCGTTAATCCACGCCGAAATGAATTCTTATTTTACGAATCAAACAGCGCATTTTCCGCAATTGGCCAGGGAAAACCTATAATAGTTAGTTCTTGTTTGTATTGTAGCACAATAGGTTGAGCTGAATGTCTACTGCATGGGCGTACATTCCAGGGGGTTGGGGTATATCCCACCCCCACTTTTTGAGGGGGGATGGGCTATTGAATCTTCTCCCCACCTTTTTGTGATGAGCCAAAAAATTAAAGCAGATTGTGAAGAACTGTTTGGATTTCCAACGACTAAAATGTTTGCAGTATCATTAAAAAGGATAACTTTTAAAAGCATAGGCCACTCTGGTGTAAGATGCTGCATGGATTTGATACACATTTTCTACGATACATCTTATCATGCACATCGCCCCCATATAGTGTATATTGTGTCCCCCGGCCCGCCGCTTTCAAATTTCCATGGTCACACAAGTCACATGCACCCCCTACACACACCTTTCCCCACCATTAATATTCAGCACAGATTTACACGACTGGTCCACTGCAAGATTTCTTAAAGCTGCGACAACTACACACTCACGAATCGCGAAGAGAGATCACGACCGATCCATTATAAGCCAAGTTGCTCGGTGACGTTCTCTTCAATGGGTGCGTTCGATTGGCTTACACGTGTAAGTCAAACTTACAAGAGAGCGTTCGTTTAGCCATCACGTGATCTTCGTGTCTGTCCTGGTGTCAGCCACCACTACCCCAGCTGGCGAGCGGGTCTCTAGCTCCGGAGGCTGCCTGAGTGTATGACGTCACGGAAGGACTGTTCGAACATGGACATGATGGAACGTGGCGGGGACTTGACCTTTTTCGCAGAATGCCTTGGCGAATACACTGCATCGTTCGATTCGCCTCATTTCGAGGCTTCCCTTGGTGTAACACTGGTGTATTCAAGGAAGTTAATCGAACGCACTCATAGGCGCAAACAGGATTAGGTCTGACGGAGGGGCACAAAAACTGGACGTAATATGGCCGTTTCACAATAGAGCCCCTCCAAGTGTTTGCAACGCGTTGGCCAATCACAACGCTCAAAATTTGTCGACCCTTTCTAAACGCGCATTGGTTCGACAACTTTCTTGCATTGTGATTGGCCAACGCGTTGTAAATTCTTGGTGGCGCACTATTGTGAAACAGCCGTATTGTATGACGCGCGGATTGAATAGTGGAGATCGAGAAGATGCATACCATGTTGGTCTCGTCCACAGCATCCACGTTTATTTCTTTAAAGGCACAGAACACGTCATCGGGTTGACCTGACAAAAATTAAACGAAGAGTCTTAAACAAGTTCATGAAATTCTCTTGCACTGAACTGAACCAACACGGCTATTTTCAACCAATAAGGGGTTACTTCAGCTCAAGGCGGAATGCCACCCAAACTTGCTGATTAAAAGAGCAGGTAATGGCCCTTTCACGAACACACGGACGCATGCAGCAGAAAGCCTTACTGGCCCATTAAAATGTACATGTAGGCCTACAGAGGTACAAAAACTTTGTGGTTAGATTTTTCCAGACGCTTCGAGTGCTTTTCTCTTTTGTTTTCAGGAAACCCTCTAGTGTCTTCATAGCAAAAATTTTCTGGTTCAAGAGGGTTTTGTGATACACCAAATAAAGAATCAAAGATTTGGTCTCGCGCCGAAGTCAACAGAAATTTCCTTTCCAAGCACGTGCAACAATCTTGTTATTCAGGGTACACACACCATGAAATCACCGCAGCCAACGTTTTGAGTACATTAGCACCATTTCCAAACCACAGCCTCGTCGCTGTTCGGGCTTTATCCCTGATACACAAACCGCCTGTGGGCATATGGTGTTTCAAAGTAAAGAAACTACTTACCCCTAGGGACAATGGTATACAGTTCAATTTTGCTGTAACAATAATTCACAAATTTTGGGCTAAAAATTTAACAATGAGAATAAAAACCAGTCAAAGCAACAAACGGAGTTGAAGGGATTTGGAAAATCCAAGTTTCAACTCGCGTGAAGTTCGTGCATGAAACCCTGACGTATTGCACAATTTAGAGCTCAAGCAGACGGAAGGGAGCCCTACTGATTTCTGTCGACCTCGTGCACTTGTCACGAAAGAGAAAGTCTTTACTTTGAGCTAAAATATATCTATAAAAAATAAAATAAACTACAAATGTAGAATAATAAAAAGCAAAAAAAAAAAAAAACCTACAAACAGAGAAATAGATATGACGATTTTTTTTAGAAAAAAGTGAAAACATCTACAGAACCTTCGAGAAAACAGTCATTGAGAGTCCCATCTCCAAAATTCTGTTTGCTCAATCAAGAACACTATTTCTAAAACATTTACAACATTCCGCACATAATCCCAGAAGAACTCTCTAAAAAGTAAATGGTTGCAACACTTAAAGGTAAATAAATGAAGCATCTACAAGCGAGAAATGGTCGCTTTCCGCTGAACTAAGAATGTTAATTTACAATGGACTAACTTCTAATCCTGGCTTATTGAAGTTTTGCGATTGAAGAGTAATCACAAGTCATAACATGGCATAACAGAGCATGGTAGTGCACAGTCACCTCGAAATTTGTGAGATGAAATGAAAGACATGTCGTTTCTCAGGAAGTGAGCATCATGCTGCAAACACCGACCTGCAGAAGTCCCTGTGATTTCATGCAGGACGATTTCAAAACATCGTGCTGTAAATTTATACTGATCATATTGTAGGACACTGTGATTCTGTCTGGCGTGTTACCTTCAGGATTTTGGTATACTAGTGATGATGAAGTCGATTGTATGCAGGCACGTTACTGCTACTGCGAGGCCACACATGTGCACACACAAAATCACGGAAAGGGAGAAAATAAAATGAAATAACCAAACAAAAGAACCCCCACCAAAAGAAAAGAAACGAGACAGAAAAGCCCAAAATGCCAAGTTTGTACCTGTTTTCTCATTGGGACGCGTGGACTGGCCCGAATACCGTGCTATAACGTCATCAATACTGAAGGCACTGTGTATGCTAAGATGTGGGGGAAAACACCATAAATATTCCCTTAGTTAATTAACTTGAAAAGACAGGGTGGTTGAGTAATTATGCAACATTACTGACGGCGTTAAGAATTAATAACGTATCATATGTCTGAATCTCATGCTGGCTGAGGGCTAATTGATAGACAGGTTTGTACTCTGCATGCAACAGAACACTTTCAATTAGATAATTAATCCACAGATAAGCTTCAATTCACAATTCCTATCTATGGTGAAAATTAAAAATCAAACCTAGACATGCTTGGATTATTCTCCTCTTACAGTACGCCTTGACAGCGAGGTGCGACAGACACAAATCATGCAGAGGTAATGTAAACTTTCCATTTTTTTCGCCGTACTGTCATAAAAAAGCATTGTGACAACAGGGAAAATTTAAATTTAAACAAGTGAATCAAAATTTCATTCAACCATGCATTCTTTTTATTGTCTTATGTTTTTATTTCTGAAGGGTAGCCTTTTCAGTTACAAACTGCTTTCATACATATTAGGGAGCTGATCCAATTACATGGACATCAGTTAAAATCAAGACTTATCAAATAATAAGTTGAAACATGTAATGCATTAACATTACAAAAAATGACCAACCAGTATTGGAGTAATGTGTGACATTTTTTAAGTTGTCAAATGAGAGCCTGAGCTAGTCATGTGGCAAGGGAATGTTCTGGGTGGCAGTTTGCCCCAGAATTTTGGCAAGCTTGGCATTCCAAACTTTGCCATCGTGCTGACTACACGCCTACCGAATTTGGTCTTCGCTCTGCACTATTTTCTTTAGACCGGAGGACCTCAAAATGCAAGTCTTCCCCTTATGTTCACGAGTGTTGTGGCTCTCTATCTTAGGTGAGTTTGAGTTACTATTTATATCATTTTATACTATTGTGTATCTTTTCTGGGGTTTAGTTATTGCATTTTCACTTCGACTCTTGTTGTAAATTGTGAAAAGAAGTGTACCGATTGATTTTATGAAGTCTGGACTTTGGGATATTTTGAGAAGTCCAAGCAAATTTATTATGTTGAAGGTTTTGGTGCATGTATTTCGTAATTTTCACTAACCAGTATTCTAAGACTAGATCCAAAAGAGATGTTTCCTCGGAAAGCTTTGCTTTTACATTTAGCTATATCTGTTTAGTGAATTATTTGAGGCGGTTTGATTGTACTTTTCAATCACTTTGACTTATAATTTAGTGGAGGCTGGGAATAAGTTGTTCCCTTCACTGCATTGAGAAATATGTGCAGATTTTGTATATATGTGTATGTCAGGACTCACCACCCATCATATCCACGGTATATGTGATAGACCATGGAGGAAGGAATAGACAGACTGACTATAGTCTACCGTTTGGACTGATGCTTTTGTAATGTTTTTCCGATGATGATGCTGATGTGCGTTGAATTCATCAGAAGTTAGAGATATGAATTGTCTCTTGGTCAAGCTTTAGACTTTGTTTTTCATATACATACACATATATATACATATATAACCAGTCTGATTAAGAGTTGGAGTTTTCACCAATTGATTCCTACCTCATGATATGTGGGACTGGGCAATGTATTCCAAGGGTGACCCCGTCTAGTTTTAAGATTTGTTCTAAGTCAGTGCCTTAGATATAATTTTCCCTTTACATGTTAACTTACATGCAAGATGGTATTTTATTTTGAGGTCTTTGTAGATGTACAGCTACATGTACCAAAGCGCGTAACCCATAAAAAGTCGGTTGCTTAGTCTGACCTCGTAAATGTTTTTATATTAGTAATGTGGCATGGACCACTATGCTCTCTATCTTAGTTACTGAATTGTAAGTTCTGAAAGAGGGTCTGGAGGGGAGTCTCTGCAGTCCACCTGAAGAGCTGTCCCCAGGCATCCCAGCCACCGAGCTATTTTGACTTGCATACACGGCACAAGTACACCAAGGCATATGTGGCATTATCATCGACATCAATCTTGCAAGATCCGCAAGTATTTCCTTTGCGTTACATTTCTTCTGCTGAAATTTTGCTCTTCACTTTTGCCAACTCGCTATACAACATGACGGACTCCTGTTCTCCCACCTTGGAACGACTCGTCGCATCTCATCTCTATATCTAGAACTTTGGCGCCATTTTGCCCTTGAGTTCAAAGTGTATTCTAACTTAACAGGATCCTGCATTTTCTGTAAACCTCTTATTTTAATTCATGGCCATCTGAATTGGTGTTCTGGATTCACTTCATATTTCCCATACTGATTGGCTTGTTTATTCCCTCCAATAAAGAAAGATCTCTTTTGTGCATAAATCCTGGATTGTGTGAGGTCAAGAGTTTTTCAAAAGGGAATTAAATTAATATGAAATTTGCTTCCTGCTATTTTGAAATGTGAACCACGGTTTACGTTAATATTTAAAAGTATCTAGTTTATATCATGTGAAATGTGCGAAGGAAGATTTTTTTGGCAAATGATACTCCATAAGAAAGAAATCAGTATATTTATTCATTTATATCAGTACTAAAACCCTAAAAAATCAACGCCAGATCAGATCCGGTCTGAGCCTGCCCCCAAATCCTTTGTGTGTCACTGTGGGTAGCTTTGGACGAGTACCATGATTATCAACGAAGTTTTATTCACATGAAAAGCGTACGTTTTTGGTCCATGAACCACGTAAGGCCATTCACCATATCACCGTAAAACATGCATTTATATCATGTTATCGACGTATACGACCTCACTTTGGTTCCTGAATGGGATCGATCCGGAAAAGGAAGGAAGGCTGTTAATTAAAAGGAGGGCCCTGAGAACCAATCCGTGTGGAACCCTCCATTCAGATTGCAATCAGAAGTAATACAATCGATCTTTGTAGCATGTTTTCTTCCTGAAAGGTATGATTCAAACCATTTTATTTCCAGCTCATTAACTCCATTACGATCGTAGAATTTACATGTGGTCAATCGTATCTTAAGATCCAAACGCGCGGCGCCTATTACCTTCATAATGTCCGTGTTGTTGAGAATGTGGTCAGTTACATCTATAACTTCACTATTAAAAATCCTTGCTGAGATTATTATGCAAAATGGTGCAGTCTGAAACCAGAGTGTTATGTGATAAGAAAATCATGCGGAGAACAGGTAACAGTTTATCATTTACTGCTATTTCGGGAAGTGTGGAGATTAGCGGGAGAACTGAAAAAGATCTCTAATTAAAAATCACGATGGAGTCACCTCGGCCATCTTACAGCCCTCAGTGACAATAACTAGGGAGTGAGATTAAATTATAAAGTTGGCCAAGGAGGTACAGATAGCTGGATTTGGTGTTTTCAGAAGTTTACAGGACTTCACGGTAAACACCAGTTGTCACTGAGAGATCCAAGTGCTTTAACTGCATGCTTTTCCGCAAAACGAAGTGTAAAAGGAGAGAATCGAAAGGAACCGGTGTTATACCGGTTGAGAGAGATTCTCTGTGTCGTTATCCAAGAACTCACAAAAGTCATCAGACGAGTTCTGATCGTTAATACTTCCACGGGCAGCCAAGATAAAGTTTGTCAAGTTAATAGAACTAAAGCTTCTTTGTGTGGCAGGACAAGGAGGTCGCACATGAAGTTGCTGAGAAGCCCAAACTTCATTTTTCCATTTCCGTCCCTGACAGTCTTAAGTTCATCCCAAAACTCTGTGGGTGAGTTACTCATTTGGACTGTGCAGTTCTTAGCATATAGTAGGCCCCTCCATTGGTGGAATCCCAGGGTTGCGCAATGCCATGCCTAAACTTGCCACATGGCATTGATGGCATTACTAGCACTACAGTACGCTGTGCTAAACTGGTTTCCCTGTCTGATTTTGTTGTGGATGGTATCGTGATAAGTTGTAAAAAGTTAAAATATATTTGTTGAGTATAAATATAAATGTTGAAATACATATTTCATTTATATGGTCTCATGTTTTAAAAAACCCCAAGGTTTGGGCCTTTTTTTTTTTTTTTTTTAGAAAAACGGACCCTAGAACCCCAATTGGCAAAACTTCCTAGATCTAGTGCAAAAACGCTAACAGAGGCAACACTGATGCGCATCCACCCGAACAGATCCATTCATGCATGCATAAGCCCGCATGTCGTTAATGGCACTCACGTTACAAGCAGTGTACATGTAACAGCCGTGTAAGTCTTAAATCCAATCACAAAAGAATGCCTTTTCATTGGTCATTTCAATAGCTTGTAACTTGACTTGCGAGTAAATGATCTGTAATGGACTTTCAGAAAAGCTTATGTTTGTTCAAATTTATGCAAAATTGACGAAAAGCAATTTATCTCTGTGGCTTCAACGACATATCCATAAGACCAGGCTGTCGTCATACATCAGTGATTCAAAAGCAATCACCTAAAACACAATTTGATCTTGAGCAGGTCAGTCAGACTATACCCAGCAAGAAATGAGACCGAGGGGTACCCTCCCAACATGTCCAATCCCTGTGCACATTCCAGACTATTGTTATTTAACACATCCCCCCCCAAGATGTCTGAAAGGAATTCCCCAGATTCCTACGAGACAATGACCAACACAAAGCAGGGGGGTTCTCTCCGTCTCATACCTTGCGGCATATGAGTCAGACAATCGATGCACGTTTGATGTCGCTAAATGAGTGGTTACCATGACAACACACCTGTCGAAGGACACCTGCTGAAAGCTCATCATTATTATTTGGTTATAATAGTGCAGATGATGGGCAGGTAGTGATGGCGGGGGGGAAACGGCCAACGGTCAAAATAACGTCGCAAATGCGTTTGGGGAAATGTCTTCTACGAAACTGCCGGCGTGCGTGTTCTTTCTTTGTATCAGACTGAATGTGTCTCAAACCGGCTGTACAACAATTTTTTGTCGCAAGACTGCGTCACATCTTGGCGAGTGCTATTCTTGTTACATTCAAATTATTTACCTAGAAATTGTGCACAGACAAGTAAAAGGAAAAAACTGGTATCATCGATTACGCAATTGAATACTGCATATTTTTTTAAACTGCATCCTCGGTGCATTATATAGAAGTAGGCCTACCCTTATTTTTTTAACCTTCAACTGTGAATAACCAATTTACGACCATCTTGTGACAATCGGTCAGTGTCTGTCCAGGATTTTCTTCAAGATCTGCATTTCATATACCAGTTATTATACGTTTTCATGTCCTCATCGACACAGACACTTCATTTCAAACTGCACATTTTGAAATATATTTTCATGATATCTGCAGCATAAAAACGGAATATCTGATGTACAGTTTATTTCCCCTTTTTTATTTTATACTTTAAATTCAACTTTTCACTGCAATAAAAAAGGTTGAGCGACTAAACAAAGCTCTAAACACGTTCCTGTTTTCCGAGTGATCACAATAATGTATAGCCATTGAACATTGATGTTTAGATACTAGCTTTTCAAATGTTTACAAAGAGATAGCAAGATTGGGTGTAACTGCTGAACACTATTTTAGAGTGCAGGCTTCACTTTTAGGCTTTGGCTTAAAAAAATGTACGTAATTGTTAAAAGTTGGTGCATCCATGTAACCAAAAAATTAAAGACACATCACAAAATATGAAACTTATAGTGTAGCTGCAATAAACTTTTCTTAGAAACGATTTTTCGGCAACTTTGTAGACTTCTTTAATGTATGAAAACTCTTTGGAATTCCTATTTGGTAAAATGAAATGAAAGTGCACTTTTTAAACCTTTTAAAATTATCAAAACTTTCCGGACACCTGGGGGCGCTGTTACTGTGATGTCATTCAGGGAAGACATAGTTCAGTGCATAGGTTTACTGTTCATACTGTTCATAAAATTTACTTTCTGCAAACATTTCTGAGAAACGAATTGATGATTGCATATAGATGTTCATTTAAACAACAATGAATACAAAACCTACAAAGATGCAGAACTTTTTGTGTAAAAATCAATGTAACATTGAGGCTTTCTCTCTGAGATGACATCCCAGTTTTGCTCATGAATATGGACATACATTAGCATAAAAACCGGAAAGGAAGTAAAATGCCCTTGGAAACAGTCAACACAAAAGTTGGAAAAAGGAGTTTGAGCCACAAAGGTGCATTTTGAAGGTTTGTATTAAAACAAATTGGTTGCAGCTACTCTTTAAACAGCTGACCCATTGAAAAAGTACTGACACCTGCGGTGCTGGACTGGTACACCTGGCTCCTGCAACTAAGGGGGCATCGCGAATTTTTATAAATCTACACCAAGCACGTCTACAAATAAATATTGCCAATATTACCTGCTATTAGATGCACCCAACGTAGGAGTAGGAGGTTTTGCTGTATTCTGCCCTCCAATTCCAACGGCGAAGAACTGCAGAAGGTTCACCGCCAAAACCTGGCGTAGGAGTTGGTCGAACGACATCGCACTTAGACAAGAAAGCCACACGTTAAGTTTGTCAGTCGTTCCACCACAATGGCGTATAACCCTGACATACAGCTAAATGATTTTAATATTTCCTCTATGTGTAAACTGTCCACAATGCCTATAAAACAATACCCATCTTCAATGCGACAAAAACTGCCCCCATTGGTAGCTTTGGAAATGAAACGTGCGCATCGCGTGCAAGCAAAATCGTTAAGTGTGAAACCAGCGGGCTTGAAATACATAAGGTTCATGTATGCCGCTCAGTCGCGGCAAAACTAACTGCCTGCGACTGGGAGTATCACACCCGTCTATAGAAAGTAGCCGCAGCCGCTAGTTAGACAAGGTGCAGTATTATTTAAGGGAGGGCTGCAAGCTACAAGTTCAATGTGCAGTACAAGTACCTTGAGCCAGTTGTAAGAAGCTGCCAAACGAAAAACGTGACTGGCCTGATAGCAGTTAGTCTTGGCCCAAGACGTCAGTGATCGATGGTTGTTTTATTTCTGTTGAAGAGCGCCCTCGCACTCCTAGACTTTACTTACTCTCACTAGGTGCGAGCCGGCGCACAGTCTAATTGTGAGTCAGTAGGGGGCGCACTATCCACGGTGTTCGCTCTCAATCACTAACGTCTTGAAACCAAGACTAGATAGCAGTAGGCTCAGCCACGCGCCAGTCGCACGCCATACACACAGGTGTGATGTTGCTGGATGAGGCTCGATAAGTCTATAAGTTGGGCTCGGCCAAGATCGATCATTCCCCGATTGATTTGCCAGGGTCCTATGCATATTCCCTGGTTACCAAGCGAATTCGAATTCATGTACTTGTTAGCAGGTGGTCGCAGATTGAACTTGGACGGCTCATGAAGAGTTATATAATTATATAAAACGCGCGAGCGAAGCAAGGGGATCAAACCAGCCCTGTGGGGAATAGGCTTCGTCAAGACTAAAAATCGTGTAGCGCCGAAGGCGCAAGATGGATAATTCTGCCCAAAGGGTGTAATTACCATAAGCGCCTTTGAGCAAGCGATACGCCTGCGCAGTTACGGTAATGCTTAGGCGCAGGCTCACCAGGTGCAGGTGCATGCCGCGGCGCCTGCGCCTTTGCATTAATGTGCATTGCGCAAGCGTATCGCTTGCTCAAATGGTGTCCATGCAGTTTCATTCCTAGGGCTAGGGGTGCACC